TAAGAAACTATTGCTTAACCCTCATCCAAGAAGAAATCTCTTTAGTCTTCAACACAAAGCCTATAGATTAACTATAGTTGTTTACTTACAAATTTTAACATGAAAAATTATCTCTGAAATACTTGTAGTCATGGTGAGAAAAAATATCCCTCATCCAATTCTCAACTTACCTTGGAAATTTGTTATTTATTCCAATGTTCACAAAAAAAGGGGAAGTAACCCACCGACTGTAATTGTAGTTACATTTGTAGTCTTAAAGTACATTGTAATCTTTTAAAAAAAAAAATGCTGGCCTGCCTGCATTAGATCACAGTTTGTGATTAAAGATGTTTACATGTTATCCTTTTGTGTGAAGTCAAATAATGTTACACACTCAAGTAATGCCTTTTGCAAATGTCTCTTAGGAAAAAATGGAATTTCTTTTGACTATAGGGCTTCCTAGGGTAATAATGTCCACTTCCTCTCTCCCTGGCCTTAAAATTTTATCTTCAGCTAGGTGTCTACATACTCCTGGCTATTTTGTCATGTGTTTCTATCATTTAAAGAATGATTCTCAGCCTAAGGAGTCTCTTGAAAGGAAATACTCCTATATAGACTTCTCTTTACATTAGTTCTAACTGAGTTTTCAACTCTTGCACTGATGCCCTTCATTTTATGCCTCAACCTGGTTTTTGGTTTTTTATTTTATTTTGTTCTTTGTGGCATATCTACTCCTCAGAAATGTTTCTTCCACTAACAGCACGTTGTAGCATGAATCTTAAAAATTCTTATTAATAAAATCAAACCTGAGTCAGGTATTGGGGTGAACTGGAAGATCAGAGAACCAGAACAAGCCACAGCTACCTCACCTTGCTGGATCCTCAGCTGGTCTTGTTTCCTCAGACTGGAAGCCTCTGAGTCCTCATCCAGAATGGGTCTCAGCTGAACTGCTGCTTAAAAGCCTGAATGCTTGACCAGGCCAAATGCTTAACCAGGCCAAATGCTGCTAGTTCCTGGTCTTCACGCCGTATATACCTTTCTGCTATCTGCCATCTCTCCCTGGGATTAAAGGCTTGTTTTCTGGGATTAAAGGAGTGTGTCACCATGCCTGGTCGTTTCCAATGTGGCCTTGAACTCACAGAGATCCAGAGGGATTTTCACCTCTGGAGTGCTAGGATTAAAGGTGTGAGTGCCACCATTTTCTAGTCTTTGTATCTAGTCGCTCTTCTGTCTCTGACCCCAGATAAATTTATTAGGGTGTACAATATTTTGGGGAACACAATACCACCAAGCATGTTATATTGCCTAGGTGAATCAAACCTCCCATCCCTAAAGAAGTTGTTTCAATCACACTGCTTCACAAATGGTTGAAAGTCATTTTGGCACAAATTGCTCATTTTATGGTGCCCAAGGAAAGAGAAACATTCATGTACTACACTACCTTCTTCCTTCTCCATCATTTATTTTAGATTATAGAATGGTACTGCATTTAAGGTAGAGTTTAACCATTTTGTGTATCTCTAAACACATCCTCACAGCAATTCACAGTTCTATGGTTTATTAATTTCCTAGATGTCCTTTAACTCAATCAAATTGACAATTAAAATTAACCCTCACAGCTCTTTGTAAGAAAGAATTCTAGTGCAAATGACTGGGTGATTCTGACATTAAACATTTTGCATGTGAGGAAATGGAATAATGCTCCAATACTGGGAATATATGAATGAAAACAGAAAGCTAGAAATTTAAATGCCATTTACACTTTTCACATTTTCTTAGTACCTTATGGCTTGCAAACTAAATTCACATATATTGTATATTTGAATTTCCCACATTTCTGAAAGAACCTTGCCACTATATTCATTCTGTGGGCATATATATATATATATATATATATATATATATATATCAATCTCATATAGGAAAAATTAGAACTATATTACTATTTCAAAATTGGATGATTTATTTTCTGTGATGTGTTCTAAAAATTGTAAAACTTAGATTACTCTGCATATGTGAAGTATTGCTTATATATAAAATTGTCCTTTTAACACAAAAGGTCCAAATTAAATTTTATTTTACACTTATAGAAACTATGAAAAACATTTACATAAGCCTATTTTGTATCATAACATTTTTTTAAAAAGTAGTTCTAGCCATAAATAAGATCTTACTGCTTTGTATTCATGTTCCTCAACGTAAAGAAAAATAACTTTCTACATGATTGTTAGAAAGTTTCAAAACCAGACATAAACATGTGGGTTCATTACCAGCATAATACACAGTCCATTAATTATTCTATTTTTTTCATAATGAATGTTGTTTTGGTTAATTGGAATGTAGAAAGTTAGTTAACTGTTCAGAAATATCAAACATACATTTTTCATAACTATTCCACATATATAAGGTTTTTGATTAACATTTATTGTCCACAAATTTGCTTCCATAATTTTTACTTGCAATCTAGACAAAATTTATTTCTATTTTCACGTTTGCACAAAATTAATTTAAAAAATAGTATGATTAAAATAAAAAAGTTAATTATTAAATGGGCAGAAAAAGGCACTTTAGTGTATTTCTCAGATTCTACAATAGGTTTAAATATATATATATATATATATATATATATATATAAGTATATTTAACTTTACGCTACAATAAGAAGCAATTATTTTAGAAGTTAGATTTAGGGCAGCAGTGGTGCATACCTTTAATCCCAGCGCTCAGGAGGCAAAGCCAGGCAGATCTCTGTGAGTTCGAGGCTAGCCTGGTCTACAGAGCGAGATCCAGGACAGGCACTAAAACTACACAGAGAAACCTTGTCTCAAAAAAAAAGTTAGAATTAAAATAAATCTTCAATATTTTATAACATTTTAGAATGTGAAACTATTGTTTCAGTGACTTACAGAAAAATAAACTCACAAAATTACTATTACTTGTACTGAATACTCCAATAATTAAATAGGTCCAAATTTGGGCTAAAGCACAGTTATTTCAAATGTATAATACATTATATTTAAATAAAGTTTGTTCATTTTTTAAAGCATCCATAGCTTTTCCTTTTTTGTGTTTTTTTTTTGTTGTTTGTTTGTTTGTTTGTTTGTTTTTCAAGACAGGGTTTCTCTGTGTAGTTTTGGTGCATGTCCTAGATCTTGCTCTGTAGACCAGGCTGGCCTTGAATTCACAGAGATCCACCTGCCTCTGCCTCCCCAGTGCTGGGATTAAAGGTGTGCGCCACCACCGCCCGGCTTATCCATTGCTTTTAAATACCATCTGTATGTGATTCAGTCCATTCCATTACCATGAATTTTGATAATATATTTCTATGATAGGGAGACAGAATCCATCCTGCTATGGACAGTTAAGAAAGAAAGAACAAATGTTTCTCGAGAGGAAAAAAGGAAGACCAAGTACAGATGATTTCAGAGAAAAGGGAAGCCGGGACTGTAAATAGAGGGAGCAAGAACTGAAGGCAGAAACACTACACTTCACAGGTCTCGTAGTACTAGCAATATTGCAATTCATATGTATTACAATCATTGCACATATGTGAAAACACATATAAAAGTGCAGCCATCTGGTGGTGACTAAGCCATTTTGCAATAAATCCACAGCCTGAGCCACAACATTAATAAGTAATTTATATCTTAATTGCTCATTTATGCCTGAATTCACCTTCATTAACTATACTGGTAATTTTCACATGGTGTAATGAAAACTCTGTTTGCAGCATTCCATTCTTTTGCTGAGCTATATTGCAGAAAACACAGCTAGCTGCTTCACTGATTTTATTCTGTTGTATTCTGGTCATGTTTTACAAATGCATGCTTAGAAACTTAAGCAAGCAGCAGTTTCCAATTGGGAGACATTGTTAATAAGTATCATTTTGGGTGCATTTGCAAGGCATTTTAACATTGAAATTGTCAGATGTATTTTGTTTTTGTTTTTAGTAAAGACTAATTTTTTCAAGATTTATTATTTTTGTTTTAATGTGTATGGTTCTTTTGCCTGAACATATTGTTTGCCATGTGTGTCTGGTATCTGCAGAAGCCAGAGGTGGATGCCATATCTCCTGGAGCTGGAGTTAACAGATGGTTGTGAGCCATAATGTGGGTTTTGGGAACCCAGTCTGTATCTACTGCAAGAGCACCTGACAGAAATTAACCATTTCAGGGGCCTTCGTGACCCTAGGCATGAAAGTGTTCAGTGGAACAAGGATGTTATTGCTGTATACATCCATCTGTTCTGCAGATGGAACTCCAGAAACCAAAGCAGAGAGAATATCTATGCATCCCCGCCAGCCCGCACCACTAAGCCTTTGTCATTATCATTATTGTTTTACAGGCTTAATAATGATCTTCTTGCAGAAATCTAATGCATAAAATATGAATTTAATGGAATACAAGTATATGTGTGTTTGGCAAAAGGATGTGTTCTGAGTATGACATGGCAATTGAATTCATAAACTCATGGTAGCTATGGTTACCAGTACAAGCTTTCCATAGGATTGGACGCCCACAACATTCATTTTGATGGGAAAAGGGCCTTCCCCTCTGTGAGGTACTATTGTTAATTGAGGAATGCTGGAGGAGGGAATGCCAGTTTCTTCAGAGGTGTAGCCACTAAAAAGTAGCCATGCTTGAAAAATCACCTCTGATCCATGCTCATGTATGCAAGCATAATTAACACATTCTCTTTCTCTTCCTCTCTCTCTTTCTCTATCTCTCTCTCTCTCTCTCTCTCTCTCTCTCTCTCTCTCACTCTCTCTCTCTCATCTCTATATATCTCTATCTCTCTATCACACACACACACAGAAGCAGGAAGGTGACTTCAGGGGCAGAAGGGTTTCAGAAGGAGGAGGGATGAGAAAAAGAAACGGGGAGGAAACAACTAAAGTTCACTGTATACATAAGAGCAATCAAAGAATAATATATACAGATAATATATTACATATAATTTCTTCTTCTTGAGATTTCCATAATAAATTTCACTGATGTAGCATTATTTCTTTTATTTGGTACCTTTGATTGGTTGTGCTGGCTTTTAGCACTTTTCTTCTGAGGTTCCAGCTCGCCTCCGGTGAGAATTCTTAGAAAGCACCATGGTTGCACAGTGATTTTACCTACACCTAGAAGTAACAAAACAGCAGAGTCTCACTGTGAGATGCATTTCACTCCAGTTATATCCCATGTCAAAGCCTAAAGGAGTAGTAAATATCTTATTTGCAAAGCAACCTCGATCTTTCATGCCCCTTCATGATAATCAACAAACTCTAGAAATTTCTTGCAATTGGACTTACTTGACATATTTTTTGCGTCTTTATGATTTTTTTGAATGAGAATGTGTTAACTTTTCTTTCTGTACATTGCTGAAAGGTAGATCTTACTCCTGAATTTTCTTATATAAAAATTGAATTTGGAGTGTAGGGTCCTCACCCAAGAGTACCAGTACCCAGTATGTGCCTAGCACCAGTATAATATCTAGTGTGGCATTCTCAGTCCACTCCCAGTACGCATGATCAAAAGGACTCCTGATACAGAGGAATGACCACCGATTCCATGCTCCACAGAGACTTTACCCTGTAACTTCTTCACTGCTCTCTGGCCAATCCTCTACTCTCTACCGAGACTTAGAATTAAGAGAAATAACGTCTCATGCCAATTCTGATGTTGCTCAGTCCTACTAGAAAAGTGTGTTCTTCTTATCACAATTTTGGGACACTCTCCCTTTAGCATCCTGGAAAGGAATTCAGAGATAGCATACATGTGATTCCAACTAGAACTATTAGATGCTGAAGAATACTTTCTGTGTAAGTGACTTAACTATTTAAAACCAACAGAAAAGACCCAATGTCATTTGATGCTTTACACACAGGAATAAACACACACAGACACCAGTGGAAATCATCTGCTCGCCATTCAACCCACATGTAACTGAGACTGTCCCAGAGCATGAGGCATCTTACAGTTTCAGCCTTCATTATTTTTAAGACATTTGCATCCTATGTATGCATCAAGGAATTGAAGAGCACTGATTTTCACAGATACTATTCCAAATCACAGTACAACTGAATAGAAGAGCAGAATCAGAGACACAGCAGAGTGGCATTTGACCCTGTTTATCTTCTAAACCATTTCTTGTTAAATAAGACCTGTTTAATTAGTATCATGTTGTTGTTATATCATGCCCATCTCATGTTTGAGAAACAAACATGGATTATTTTTATAATCAGAAAAATCTCTTTGTATAATTTGTTTTTATTCAAATGAAAGTACATGTGGAATCCATAAAAGAGCACAAAGGGGAAATCAAGATTCTTCTAATCATGGAATAATTGTAATTACTCATTAATTTTAATTACGGAATTTTCAGTGAATGAAAGTAGTAAGGGTAGTTCAGTCTAAGAATCTCTAAGCCTATTAGCCTCATTTGGTTTAATGTGTGTGTGTGTGTGTGTGTGTGTGTGTGTGTGTGTGTGTGTGTGTGTTTAATTACAGAGCTAACCTACCTAGACATGCCTAGCCCAGCCCTCCTATGAGGGTTTGTACCTAGTCTTATGGCATCTAGTTATACCATATATTTTGGCTGATATCCCTGGGGGGCCTGCCCTTTTCTGAAGGGAAATGAAGGAGGAGTGGATCTGATGGAGAGGGTAGGTGGTGGGGTGAACCAGGAGTAGTGGGAGGAGAGGAGACTATGATCAGAATGTACTGTATGAAAGAAGAATAAATAAAAGAAAAAAAAAGTTTTGAAAATTGCCAAAAAATAATGATAAGCCTTGGAGAGAATGACAAGGATCTTGGGGTAAATTACTTTAAAAAAAAAAAACTTCCTTTTATTTTTAAGAATCACATCCATTATTACTATACTTACATCATGACATCTTGCACACCTGGATGCATCCACAATGTAGCTCCACCCTGCAGGTCCTTGGAATGACTTACACCTTAAGGCTCCAAGACATGGCTGTTTCCTCCAAGCTTCATGTGTGACCCTTGTATTTAATAAAAGGGGGGGGGAGATGCAGAGCTAGTGGCAGTGCAGCGGGAGGGAGAGCAAGCAGAAAGGTAAACACAGATGTATGGGGGAGGGAATCTCATGCTGAAATATGCAGAATAACACAGCAGTCTGAATTTAAAATAGCTGAGCTGGAAGAATGGCATCGTAAGGTGTAAATGATGTCTCTGGTTTTTCTTTGTAAAAGTTTGGTACTGTGACAGGGAGCCATCTTGAAAACGGCTCATACTATCTTGTACTTTAGGAGTTAAAACTTTATCTTCCATTTCCTTAAAATTCACAGGTCTTGTCATGTAATCCAAGCCACCATTTTCCCTGGGACCCAGGGTAGCCTCAGTTAAATATGGATGAAGCAAACTTGTTGAAAACTATATGCAGTGAGAGTTGGGCCAGAAGTGGTGAGTGAGGCTTTCTCTTTAAGAAACCACTAAAGAGGGCTGTAGTCCTGTGCTCAGTGCATGAGTTGGCTGTTTAGAACCTGGGACTTATGCAGGGATGCTTGGCTCAGTCTGGGAGGAGGGGACTGGAATGCCTGGACTGAGTCTACCAGGTCGATCTCAGTCCTCAGGGGAGGCTTTGCCCTGGAGGAGGTGGGAATAAGGGGTTGGCTGGGGGGAAGGGGAGGGGAACAGGAGCAGGTAGAACAAGGGAATCCATGGCTGATACGTAGAACTGAATGGTATTGTAAAATAAAAAAAAAAATTAAAAAAAAAGGAAAAAGAAAAAAGAAAGAAATGGAAACCAGAACTACAATGAGATGTTATCATATACCAGTTAGAATGCCTATCACCAAACACACACACACACACACACACACACACACACACACACACACAAAGAAATGCAAAGCTACATGCAGGGACTGGTCCCGGGACTCCGCAGGCACGGGTGTTGGAGAGGAATGCACAGGATCAGCTCAACCTTTGGGGCTCAATTAAGTTTGTTGCCCCACCCTTCACACAGGCAGGCCTGACAGGAGTTTGCATCAGCCCTGCACTGAAAATACACCACCGAGCTGACATGCAGTAAACACTACCCAAGGAAGTTTGGTTCTGGGCTACCTTGTACCAAGAAACCAATTCCCAGCCAACTCTGCTCTCAGACACTCACATTCATAGACCTGAATGGCATGCAGCATTACAGTAGGAGGCAGGGCCTCTGCTTCCAGGCTGTGTTCTCTTCAAGGAGAGCCTCCCAACACAGAGACAGAAAGGGGGGATGTTGGCAGAGCTAGGTAACGCACTCTCTTCCCTAAATGGTCAGGCCAATGAAGACAGTGCTTCCTAAATCATTCAAACAAGCAAACAAACAAGTGGAAAAAGCATCTTTTATTAAAAACCATTTTGAAATATTTGCTGATTGGCTGATTACTTCATGGTGTTTGTCTGTGTGTGTGATTTCCTTTTAATATAATTTTTGTTAGAATTTTTCTTTCTTATTCTTTTGTTGTTTCTTCCTATTCTAATAAGGAAGTCCTCTCTCTGTCTCTCTCTGTGTCTCTCTCTCTCTCTCTCTCTCTCTCTCTCTCTCTCTCACACACACACACACACACACACACACACAATCGTGGCCTTCATTTCTCCCTTTTACTTTTTCAATATTGTATCCTTGCCTTTCTACTTCTGACTTTATTCTCATAGGTTTCTTTGCTTCTCATTTTTGACTCCTTTTGAATATTTTCTGGTTTGTGTCCTCTCTGTCCTCGCCACTCATGTTGTGGCTGCTGCTAGAGGCATCGCTGCCATAGTCACTTCGTAGACTCCTTTATTTCCCTGTCTGCCTCACTGCTGTTTGTTTCAATTGCAGCTCTTTGTTTCCTCCTTTTGAAATGATGCTGGTGATCTCAGCACATGACCATGTCATGGAGATGCTCTGACACTAAACTATAATCCCAGACCAGTTAGAGTCATCATACCTTGATCTACATACAACTCATCCTGCTTAAATTTCAGTGACTGCTGTAAATAAAAGAATAAGAGAAAAAAAGAAGAAGAAGAAGAAGAAAACTCAATTCCTGGAACTCATCTGCCCACAACAGAGCTTAAATGGTATCAAAACATACTCCTCCCCATTAAAGAGAGTACAATTTTAAATATTGTTAAAATAATTTTAAAAACATCTATTGGAGGTTTATTCAACACTTCATAATGCCGGGATGCCCTAGGGCACATTACTAAAAGCAGTCTGTTACCTACAGTGAGTTTCACATGAAAGTTGAAGGGCTATCTACTACAACCTGTGCATAAATATAAAAATAGGAACATACAAATAATGACAGAACAGACAACATGACTCCCTTAAAAGTTGACAAATATCCATAGATACTGAAGTAGTAAAAAATAAGCATACAAAATAAAAAATAAATATAAAAATGACTTTCAATAAGATGTTTTTTATTTAAAATTTTTTCATACAATTATTTTGATCATATGATGATGAACTTTTCTTTTTGTATTTTCTTAAATACAAAAACAACTATATGAATTAAGAAAAAAGCATGCCAGATATGTGTTAGAAGTTTGATAAACAGAGATTTTTAAAAAATGGAAATTAAAGGTTCTGCAATTCAGAAACTATCCATGGGAAAGCCTTATCATTAAATCAGATCAAACAAAAGGTAAATTTTGGTGTTTAAAGATATTATTGATTAATTGCAGCATTCAAACAGCAGGAAAGAAAGATCAAAGAAATTATGAATAGAAAATATAAATCTTCTGAACATGGCAAAGGGACCAAGATTACATAAAATTGGTGTAGGAGATGCTGTGGAAATATAAACTAAAGGCATATTCAATGTATGAACCAAATATACTTATATAAGAATGAATATAAATTAAAAAATGAAGACTTATTTGGGAAAAATACAAAATTTTCCCCTTCTTTCAGAAGATTTGGATGTTTACTCAGGTAAAGGAGACATCTGGAACCCAAAAAATATATAACCAGTAAAGTACCTACCCATGCTGCAATACAGTTAAAATTCCAAGAGGACTGAGGAAACAAAGAATATTGAAGAATTCAAGACATGTACCTTGACCTATAATGCAAACCAATCAGAATGACAGCAGACATCTCAATAGAAACTCAAAGTCAGAACATCATTGAATGAAA